AACAACAACAACAACGACGACAACAACAACAACAACAACAACGACAACAACAACAACAACAACAACAACGACGACGATGACGACAACGACAACAACAACTCCAAAAACAACAAAGGTATCAAGATCACATCCGCCTGACAAACAACACCTGCCTCTTAAATTGTTGACAATCAACAACCCGCAATTCAACGGAAGAGGAGCAAAGTTTGGCTTTTCATCCTTACCTATCATCTACAAAGACAGGCACTGAGTAACAACCCCCCCCCCCCCTCCCCCTTCCTTTTATTACTTACCCAGACTCACACACCAGCGCTCAAAAGAAGTTTGTCCCGTCCGCCCGTGTGGTGTGGTGTGGTGCGCCTGCACTGCAACTTCCACAACAAAACTTTCCTTTGTCGTTACAGACCAACAAACAGAACGGAAGTTTTTCGCTGACACACACTCCTAAACATTGCACATTATTACTATCTTGTCGACGGCTGTGGGGACGAGCCACATGGAATGAATAAATGTCCTGAGTCAGAAACCCCCAGTCTGACTCTCTGACGCAGAATGGATTCAGGTGTGCCACAGGTAAGTTCTGAATATCACATTTATTTTTGTTATTCGTCTTCCTCTTCTTCTCCAATAATTAAACTGTAATTCTGTACCGCCGGGCTCCAAGGTTTTCAGATGCACGTTGCTTCTAAAAATCTCATTGTTTTTTTTTCTTCTAAATTATCATTATAATTTTATAATTTGGCTTTGCTCCTTCTCCCCCTCTGCAACTCAGCTCGCTGTGTGTTTACAAACGTTCATCTGTCAGACGAGAGGAGTTAACGCAGGTTTTATCCGCGACAAGCGTCAACATGGCCCTGTCTTTGTGACACGGACGCTGATGCTGGAGCATCGACAGCACGTACTCTTTCTTGTACTTCTTTCGCTGCTTGTCTCACGATACCTATGGGCAGTCGACTACCCAGCTGACAGACACGGTTTCGTGCGGGTGGTTGGAGGGCGTCACTGGTAGGTTGTCCTACTTCTTTACTTTCTCTCCGTTGTTTTTGTGTAGGTCCTACATCTTTACTTTCTCTTCGTTGTTTCTGTCTGTCTATACTTTTTCTCCAGCACTAAATGGCCATTATTGCGTCGATATGCTTCTCAAACAAACAAACAAAGCACTGCTTCTTCCAAGCTATGCAAATGTCTGTGCTATTTTTTGTTTTGTTTTTGCTCAACTTTGAAAAACAATCTGATGTTTCTATCATGCTTCTGACTCGGAACCCATGATCAAACTTTGGACACGTCATTTACATGATCAGTTTTTGATTTGGAGGTATGTCCAGTGTTCGTTCATCGTTGTCCACCATATCTAGTAGAATTCTAGATTGACATTCAATCTGTGACAAAGCTTCTATATTACTAAACATGCTAAGTCAAAACGTCTCTCTTCACCACCACCCCCCCCCTCCCCCGTCCATAACCCCT